CTGAACAAACCAAACTCAGAAAGGATGAGGATCTGCCCTAGCGCTGTAATGAAGAAGGTCTGGGGGATAGAGAGGCTGGCTCCCCTCATCAGTCAGACACACATGTAGGCTGTCCCCTCTGTTTCCCCCTTTATTTCCACCATGGCCTGGAGCACAAATGCCTCAATGAATATTTGGGGACAGCTGGATGAGGACAAGGGAGGCAAGACTGGCTGAAACCTATTCAGAGGGTGGAGAGAACGGATGGTCCCTACTTTGAATAAGATACACAAAGAGAAGAGCCCCAGAGTGCCACAGAAAAGGACCAGCAAGCACCTTCTCAAGTACACAGCCTAGGCTAGTGACACTTCCACAGAGCCCAGGCATTGGCCGCTGCTCCCACATTTGTTGTCAAGCTCCCTCCAGGTCTGTTCCCCTAGGCAATCAGTTGCTGTCCCACCTCTGGAGCCAGAACATCAGTTCACATCTGGACCTTCAAGGCAGGACTGCAGGGCTCTGCCTTAGATCTACAGAGTTGTTCTGGAGGAGACTCCGGTGTTCAGTCAAGTGGAGGCAGGGTGGGTTGTAGAGAATGAAAGGAGAGGTGGGGAAAGAATGGAGGAGAAGGGAGGGGGTGGAGATAGAAGGAAGTTTAGGGTAGGGGAAGTTAGCTTAGGGAAGGCATGTAGGAGGTCGGGTTAGGGATCGCTGGGTTAAGCAGGCTCTGTTAGGAAAGGGTGGGTTAGGGAAGGTGAGATTAGGAAAGGTAGGACTAGAGAATTTTAGGTTAGGGAAGGTTAGGTTAGGGAAGGGAAAACAAAGGAAAGGAAGGAAAAGAAGGAAAGGAAAGAGAAAGGAAACAGGAAGGGAGGAGAGGGAAGAGAAGGGTGATCAGGAGAGAAAAAAGCACTCATAAACATTAAGATGAAGCAAAGTTTCACCATGACATGGATTATGCAGAAATTGCTCTAAAATATAGAATGATTTTAAGCAAAGGACAGAGTATAATGAAAGAGATTCTTTTATGTTTGAGATGAAGAATATTCCTCTTTACGTGTTGAGGATGTGCATGGACCAGGAGGATATGAATTGTTCCCAAAAGCTGCTTGGTCTGTAATCTGTAGATATGAAGCCTTAAAGGCAGAAAAGCAGTGGTTTTCTGTTGCTTGGATTAGCTCATGGACCTGGAAGTTCAGTGAGATCTTAAGAGGCAATGAAGCGAAGAGTACGGACAAAGAAAAAGAAAGGGTGCAAAGCAGGAGGCCAGAGGGAAGTGGGGACCAGGGGCTCTGGGACGAGGATGCTGCTGTGGTCACGGCCACATAGCAAGCTGGAAGCAATTCCAAAAATACGGAGAAAGAATATGATTTTGGCTAGAACTGAGAAAGTAATCAAAAGACAAAGTAGAAATTATGCTATTTCCCACTTCATACAGGTACAGGAAGTGGGTGCTTAAGGAGGAAATCAACAGTCCAGCTAAAGTCGGCAAGTCACAAACACAAGTAAACTCACATGGAAACTGGTAAAGGAGTTAGACATCGTTGCGGGAGACCAGGATTATAGTGACAGGAAGACCACAGGAAATGTCCGCTGTGCAAAGGTGTTATTTACTGGAAACTTAGACTTGTGAGCCCTGACTTAGATCCAAAAGTCCCCAGAATTGCAGGAATCTGTTTTTGATGAGCCTCTCAGCTGCTTCGTACGCCCTCAGTCTGGCCTGAAGAAACTGTGTTGAGGCCCCGGATGGGTTGGGAGGAGCCATCTCTGTGTTCCTGATTTGGGTGAGACCTAGAGAGCTCCTGGACTCTTAGAATTTCTGATGCGTTTGTGGGATGGGGTGGTGAGAACAGTGGAGTTGTCTAGCAGCTTCCTTTGGAGAACATCATGGGCTTCATTTCCCATCCTCTGAGATGCTCCCAGCTAAGGAAGATGTTGACTCATGACTGGGCTTCCTCATAATTTCTACATTTCCTTCTTCCTGATTCGAGATGTACCAATCTTGTGGGCCACTCTTGTTCTCCCTGTGAGAAGCTCCACTAACTTTTGAGTTACCCTAGCATTGGTGCCGGGTGTGCCATGACCTTCTTGACCTTTACAGGTGGATGGGAGTTTACGACTCCTTCATGTCTTCATGGTACTCAAATGCACACTTGGTTGCTCATCTCAGTTGGAAATGGGCTACGTAATTCCCATGAGGCCATCAGGAGACTGTCTAATGCATGAAAAACAGCACTGAAGTGGGAATCTGGAGCCCAGTGCTCTAAGCCAGCAGTTCCAAGACTGGCTTCCAGTGGCTCAAACCTTGGTTTTCTGAGAGCTGCTCCAGGGAATGAGCCTGGATGGCCTGGCTTCTAGAGTCCTCCAATTTCCCATCCTTGCCTCCCACAGTGAGTACACAGTAAGCACGGCAACCCTGCTGTTCACTCTAAGGGCTTTATGAACTGTGCTTCAGTGTCTTCTGTTCACATACACTGGTGCCCTTAATCAGCAGGGCAAATCTGCAAAGCAGGCACTAGTGTTAAGACAGGATGTTTTAAAGTGGGATGTTTTCTATCTCATGTTCTGAAGGTTGAGAACAAAATAGTAGATGTCAACCAATGGGCTCACACATGCAGGGCTCAGATGGGGTACTTAACCATCATCGTCAGAAAACTCCTCATCATCAGAGAAACTCTAAACTAGCTCTGCCTGAGAGCTGGTCCCAGGGTGCGATTGTAATGATCTATTAGCATTCTGCTCTAACAGATGACTGCAAATGCATGGGCCAGGAGGGGCTGTCCTTGTCTTTCCAGTTTTGTGATACAGGGTACTCTCTTCCACTTCTGCGAGTGAGAAAATCCAATCTGAATTTCAACTAGGCTGAATTGAGGTTTTCAGTGAGTGCATCTTTTTCTGGTGATGCAAAAGGAGAATCTATGTTCTGAACTTCGACAGATTCAGTGGCTGCCCATTTTCCCATGGCTCACTTCCTCTCTCTTTATACCTGCAGTGTTGGGTCAAATTCTTGACATGCTGTCCTTTCTCTGATCCTCTGTCTCTCCTCTCTTACGTACTTTTGATAACTCTTGTCACTGCATTGGAGCTACCTAGATAAGTTCTGATAATTTAAGAGTAACGTTAGCACCACCTGAAACCTTGAATTCCCTTTGGTATGGAGCCACAGTTCTTCATAGGTTCTGGGCATCTGGTCCAGTCCCCAGAGATTCCGCTCTTATAGTCTGGAGCATGTATTAGCATTTTGTAAATGTTCCCAAGTGAGTCCAGCAAACAATTAAGGCCTGTGTCTTACTTTTCTCATTGCTGAGACAAAATATTCAACACCCAAAGTTAAAGGAGGAAACCTTTATTTAGCTCAGTTTGTAGAGGTTTCAGTTCATAGTTGGCTGGCTCCAAGGCAGAGTTCATTGGCAGAGGAGCATGGCAGAAGAGAAACAGCTCATGGTGGGCAGAAGACAGTTAAGAGGCAAAGCAGAGAAGTGACAACTCTTTTTCTTGGACCCCCTTAGGGGGCAGGCAGTACTCAGACCCCTGGTGGGGTACCCTTGATGCTACCCAGAACTATGACAAACGAATCGGTTGACTAATTTAGTAATCACACTCTCCTGATCCCAGCATCACACAGTCTATATGCAGTCATCTCTAAAACCCTCTGCTATAACTGCATGACGCTTTGGGGAGACATCTAGACATAAGCCATAACTTCCAGGAACTACTTGGATCAAAAGAAACTCTCCAAGACATCCAACACTGGCCAAAAGTACTTCCCATACTGGCCTGCCTCACTTCAGAATTCCATGACACACTGAAGCCTCTTCTCTTCTGGAGGAAGCGTTCCTTTGAACACTACATTTTTCTCTCATAAAGTGAGATTATAGGTGAGAACACATTTTATTAAGTGTCATGTAAATGACAGAAATTGCTGACTAATTCCAACTTGTTTATGATGGAGCGACAGACAGACAGACACAGAGACAGAATAGAGAGAAAGAGAGGAAGTGGGTTTGTTTATTACTATACATATATGACATTTCTATATGCATACACTATTTTATTTAGATTTCCCTCTGTATATTATTGTGTATTTTCCTATTTTCTGATTACTTTGGTGAGATGAATACTTTTACTTCAGGAATTTTGTGTAAAATATAAAAGTGTAATTATTTTTCATGCTTTTTCAATTTTACTCTAAATGATAGCATGTTGCTCACATTTTATGAATGTGATATCTACTCTCCATTCTGAGACTATCAAGACGTTTTTAAATTCCTTCTTCCTTCCTCAGCTGCCTTAGTGCTCACTGGCTTTCTTTTTCCTTATATGACCAGTGATTGTTCACTGTACAAGTCTGTGACACAGCCATAAACACATACATGCTGCTTTCACAGCCCCCCGGCCCCACTGTCCCCAAATCTTCCCCTCAGAGTCTATAAAGGTTTGCTTTCACAAGTGTGGTTCTTAAGAATGAGAATGAGGAAATCTGCTTTGTCCAGAAACCAAATCAGCCCAAAGCTGCTGTAGTGACTCTGTTTCCTTGCACCTGTCCCTGTAACCTTCAGGCAATGCCATCAAGTCTGCTTGCCCCCAAGCCCATGGATGTGTCCCTTCCCTGTTTCCAGCCCCGTGGCCTAGGTTCCAAGCTCAGGATCTCTGGCTAGAAAGTTGCATAGCTCACATTGGTCTCCTATTTTCATTCTGGAACTGTGCTGTAGAAATTTTTTCCTTTACTAAGACTAGCATGTGACTCTAGGGTCTACCATCCATGGGCCCCCATTTTCTGTGTCACTGTCTTCTATATGACTGACTTTCTCCCCTTTCTAGACAATGCCTTTGATTTCTCAGCATCCAGGACAGGATCTGGTATGTGGTCTTGTCTCTGTTTCCTTTTCCTCTCCCATGGTAGATGCTCTATAAATATGGACAGGAATAAACAGCAGGCCAGAGTTTGAACCCCAAGAAGGTTATCACAATAGAGTTTGGTGTTGCCCAAAAATTGCCTTGGGTTCACAGATCAGTCACTGAACTGTTAATGCATGTGGAAACTTTATTAAAAGCAAGAGGCTATTCTAGAGAATGAAGTGAACATGGTGGGCGGGTTAGGAGCGATCACGGGATGTCACTTGCTGTAGCTCTTGGAACCTGGCTCTGGGAGGTCCAGGAAGTTTGGTTCCAGTTCAGACCCAGCCAATAAACCCTCATCTTCACTTTCTGTTGACTGCCCATCTAGAGCTGCATCTGAAACAAAGGGGAGCCAGATTGGTCAGGGCCAGATCAGGGATTCTCTTGCACCGTCCTTTCCCCTCTGGGGTAGAAAAGTCCTCACTTCTGTTCCCCGCTAGCACCCCACAAAGAGCCTGCAGGTGGTTGGGATCCTGGCTCATCTCCCAACTGCAGGGCCACGCTGAGGGCACAAGGGTGCTGGAGTTTGGTCTTAGAAGTCAAAAACAGAGGTGAGAAGCTAAAAAGTGTTGGATGTGATCCTGTCTCTGTTTCCTGCTCCTCTCCCACCTTCCCCAACAAGGAACTGTCATCCTGGACCCTCAGCCAGGGAAAAATGAGTCTTTCTCCTTTGGGAGGGAGCCTGGGCACAGACTTCTACCACGGTGCCAGGAGAGCTAAAGGCACCCACTAGGTTCTGTCTCTTACTCCCACCTTCTATATGCTTCCCAAGGACATCAAGCTTATCACTACATTCTTGATTTTGATTAAATTTCTCTCTTTATTACCTCTGCAACAGGAAGTGGTGGGAACAAATGGGTTTCCCTGGAATATAGTTTCCTATCCAAGATTTCTATCCAGCCCTTGGAGGGCTGCAAGAGTGAAGTTCAGAGTCCTATCTTGGCTCCTGTACCAGCATTCCTGGCAAGGAGCTCACCACCTAGCCTCCTTCCTTCCTGTCCTTGGGCTCTTCTTGCTTCTTTTGCCAGGTCCCATCAGAAAAGGAGACCCTTGGCAAAAAAAGAAGCCCTAGAGAGCAGTCATGGGCAGGGGCTTGGCCATCAACACCCAGTCACCCGAATGCCCCGGGCACTGGCCCAGCAGGCCATGCACATAGCTAGGCAGCGGCTGCTAAGATAAACAACCAGTACTGTACCCCATCCAACCTCTGCACCCCCAACCCTGGGCTTCCCTACCTGCTGGTGTCTTCAGGACCTGAATGTACTTGGACCAAAAGGAGCAGTCAGCTTGTTTCAGGCCCTGGCGAATGGGAAGCATGCTGCTGAACTCCTGGTAGCTCTCTCCACCAGCCCCTGGTACAAAGTCAGGCCAGAGGGCTGCAAACTCAGGTGCCTTCCATGAGAACTCATGTGGATAATTGGGATTTCTGGGGAAATGAGCAGAGAGAAATGTCCCTAAAGAAAACTGGTCTTCCCTTTGTCACTCGGGATCACTTCTTAGTTGCACTCAGTCTTTGAACACTGGGTGGGGACCCACAGGAGTGGCACCAACTGTGACTGAATAGGTCCCCAAAGGCACTGAGGCATAAAGGCTGCTGGGCCCACTCCTCTCGGGACAGAGGAGAGTTTGTGATCCAGTAGCATCACTCAGGTCAGCACCTAGTGCTGCTGTTGGGTCTTTCTGAGTCTTCAGGAGACCACAATGTCTCCTTAGACCTGATATCCTCTGACCTGGACACCAGTGTCAGTCTCTGGGATGCCCTGGTTTGTGCAAGATCTAGACAGAGGGATGGGCCCAGAGCTAAGGACCCTGCTGGCCACCCACAATTCAACTTCCCATGGTGGGGGGATATTGTATCCCTCAGACATGACACACAGGCCCACCATGCCATTGTCCCCACCTTGACCCACGCTTCTCCTCCACCCATGGTGTCCTCTCCTTGGCTCATCTGCCTATTCTATTTAGCTCTCAAGGCTCAGCATAAATGTCATTTTTCAAGGAAATACTTTCTAAACCCCAGTTAGAAGAAATATCCTTTTCTTTTCAACTCCCATAGCAAACTACCAAAACCTCAATTTGCCCTGTTTTGACCTATGCCTGGATTTCATTTTTAGGTGTCAGGACCTTGTGACTTTGTTGGACCAGGGAATTTTTAAAAATCTGTTTATCTTTCCCTGAGTGCCTATCATAGTTCTGGGGAGTGAGTGCACATCCAGCAAGAAGGCAAAGAGAAATAGAAACTAGGGGAAGGAGGGAAGCATGGGGTCTCTCTGGGTGGTGAGGGCGGTGAGCATCGTGCAGCCCTGGCCAGGACTGGAGCAGACAGAAGGGAGGGAGGGAGGGAGGCCCGGATGGCCTGCGGCTCATACCCTGCAGTGGTGGTTCATCCTCTTGGGAGACTGACTCTGCTCCTAGGGTGTCCCCCTGCCCAAGGATAATGGCCAGCCCCTGAGACTGCTCTTGTTATCAGGACTGGAATGAATGGGTACCACTGATATCTACTGGGCAGGGGCCAGGGATGTTCTGTCACCTCTTACAACACACAGGGCATACACAGACCAAAGAGCTGCGACGTGTGGCTGGACTGCTAAGGGACACGATTGGAAGTGTCACCATGATTATATGATGGTGCTTTTGGCTAGAGAGGGGGATAAGACAAGGAGGGCAGTGACCAGTGATCCCAGCAGCTAGGGAGGAAGGCTGAGTCTACTGAGCAGACTGAGGCCTTTGCTTTTAAATGGGAGGGACGCGTATGACAGAGTTCAGATCAGCAGGTCTACTCACCCAGATCTGATGAAGTTGGACCAGAACTGCATGATTTTCAGTGACAGGCTCTTCTCCTCCAGGGAAAACTGCCCCTTATACGCAGGGTAAAAAGGAAGTCCAAAGGCATACTGAACATCAGCCAGCAACTCCAGGCTGGGGACACAGGGAAAGAAGAGGCGAAAGTTAGGGGAGCCATACACCACTGTGGAAACCAAATGAGACTGGAACTCATACTCTTTCCAAAACAAAGACTTTCCCACTTCTCAGCTTGGGTAAGATTCCTGGGAAGTGCTCAGCATAGCTGAGATTCAGCTTGGCCTTGAGCCCCGATGGCCCACAGGCAGATTCATGGCATGGGTGCCAGCCCAGGATCACTCACACTGAGCAACGATGTGGGGGAGCAATTTTCCAACAGACTGTCCCTTGACATAGCCCAGGCATGTCCTCATGGCACCCTTGAGTATTTGCCTGCTCGTTTATTCATTGATGCAGTAATAAATGCTTCTCCCTGTATAACCAGCACACTCACAGCTCTCCAGAGTTGGTGTTTATCCATGTAACCCACCTCACCATTGATGCATGGTAGTTGTCCACTAAGTACACACTGAGGCTGAACTGAATCTCTAGGAAGCAGCAGGCAGGAGAATGACAACTTGGGAGACTATCCAGAGGCTTGCGTGGGCAGAGCCAGTAGTGACAACTGAGGGCCTGTGTACTCTGGGCTCTGCAGAGGCACTTGGAGTGGGCAATACAATCCCTCCAGGCTAGCATGAGGATGGACAAGCTGGGACATGTTTTATAACTATGTAGTGAAGAATTTGACTTTTCCCAGAGAGATGTCTGGCCTTGCCCTTGTTCCTGGGAAGCAGGTCACACGTGGGAGGAGGCCTTTGGTGAGGGCAGAGACTGGCACATGGGACCTTAAAAGAGATGCAGCCATGCCTGATGCACTTAGGGAGGGGACAGCACAGCCTAGAAACACAGGCACGCATTTAGCCTCAGTCAGAGTTGTGAGCATCAATTTTGGGTGTGCTGCTCTGTGCCACTGCACATTTGTACAGAGAGAAGACTGCATCCACACAGGGAGAGGACAGTGGTGCTTCCCACGTGGACCCCCTGGGCTCAGCACCATGCCCTTCTGCCATAACAAATCACTGCTGTGAGCATTGCTTCATACCATGAGCTTTATGAGCTTTTTCAGCAAATTCCTGGACCTAAGAGTGGCTTGGGGAATCTCTGAGTTTGCAGCTTGTGTCAGAAGTAAAAGAGACCTTGGGGAGAAATGGTGCCCCGTAACTTATTAGCTGGCCCCCACAAGAATTATCTCAATTTCACAGCTCAGGAAAATGAAGCCTAGGGAAATTTCTTGATTTTTCTCAGAAACACAGAGTAAGTTGAATGGAAGAGTCGGCTCAGAGTGGATATTTTCAGGAAGCACAGTAGGGATGGTGTCAGACTCCAGGCAGCCACCATTTCTGATCCTGGGGCCTCCCCTTCAGGCTGGGTGACCTCTGGCAAGTTACCTGGCCTCCCGGACCCCACTTGCCATTTGCAACTACATGCAGGTGTTCTGGGCCCTCTGAGAGGATGTTTTGGTTCTCAAAAGGGATCAGGAAACACAAATGCCATCGGAATGTGTAGGACCCTGGGACCCATAAAGCGGCTGCTTTACTCCATGTCTGTTTTTTCCTTTATCTGTTTTTAACTAATCTGTATTATACAGTGACACATTATGCTTGCATATATTTATGGGGTGCAATGTGGTGTTTTGCAATTTTTTTTAGTACTAAGGATGGAACCCAGGGCCTCATGCATGGTAAACTGCCTTTTTGCTCAGCTCTGCTATGATTTTTTAACCATGTGGAAGATTAAGCTAATAATAATTTCATCTAACTTATCTGTGATAAAACATTAAACATTTACCCTAGTGATACTGAAATGTACAGTAGTCAACTGTACACGCCGTGCAAGTGTTGTAAAGCAAAAAAATCAGACTTCTTTCTCCTCTCTCTCAGAGGTTTGGCTTTGACTGTCTCCCACTTCCTCCACTGCCAGCCACTGGGACCCACCGATCTACTCGGTTCCTTCAGCACCCAGTTATCTGAGCCCTTACAGTGGGCCAAGCTCTGCAGCAGACCACCAGCCCATGATTGTGGACCTTCTGCGAAGGACCCCGAATGACAGCCTCAAATGACTCAGCACAGTACAATGTCAAGGTAGGGACACAGTACTCCAACCCGAGTCTCCCGGAGTAAATCCATGCTGTGTGTAGTCCCCTCAGGGAAAGGACACTCAGGAAGACAGTGATGTAGTTAGACACGTGAAGGGAAAAGAAAGGTAAGACAGAAATGTCAGGTAGGTAGAAGTTGTGGTTATAAGAACAAAGATGAACACAGACTAGCACTGGGGTACTTCACAGAGTACTGTCACCCTTACTATGACAGCATGCACAGGTGACAGAGATCATTACTTCTCTCAGAAATGCAGGAAGTGGTTTCAAAGTGGTAGTTTTCTCGCCAAGGCCCCAGAACAATTCTGTGGGGTGGCGCTGGCTCCAGAGCAGCCAGGTGGTCCGGGGTCTGCAGGAACCACATCTTGCTCCCTTCCTCACCATCCTCCTGCTTCTCTGCCAGTGTCACTTGCCCACCCCTCACCTTGGGAGGAAGGTGCAGCAGCTGCTCCCTGAGAGCCTTTCTGCGAACATGGCTGAGACCTTGTGGTGTCTGCATTAGCAAACCATCACAGCTCAGTGACTTCAAATAGCATACGTGACAACTCACAAGATCTGGAGTTTGGAGCATTAGGATGCGTCTCCCTGGGCTAAAGTCACTTCGTCAGCTGGCTGTGTTCTCTCGCAGGTCTCTGAAGGCCATCTTTGGCCCGCGTCTCAGGTGTGGGCTTGAGGTGCAGGACACAAGTCTTTGCTTTCTAGCTGTGCAATTGGCTGGCTGTTCTCAGCCACTGGAGGCCAGCTGGGCCCCTGTCCTCACAAGTTGGGTCCTTATCTCCTGTCCCTGTGCCGCACTCTTTCGCCTGATGCTTCTACTTTGAAGTGTTAGAGGTGTTAGACTAGGTCTATCAGGATCATTGGTCACATCGGTAGATCCCCTTGCAACATAAGGGAAGGTATCTACAGGTCAGACATTGTGAGGAACCGTACTTTTGCCCACTGTGGTGGCCTTGTCTATGGTTCCTTCCGAAGAGAGCGGCCTTCCGCAGCACTGCCAGGGAAGCAGAGACAAACTCTCGAAACCATGATCTGCATTCAAAACCCAGCTTAGTCAGGCCAGGTCTGTGTGAACTCAGACAAGAGGCACAAGTTTCCTGGGCCTAAGTGCCCACATCTGGGAGCCTGAAAGTCAGTCAGCTTGCCCAGTCCTTGATAAGGTTTAACTATGAAACTTTTAGGCCCTGGTCCCATTTCTGACCCATCTTCCCTCTCCCTTTTCCTTTCCTGAGGAGAATCCACAAGGTTAAGAGTAAGGGTGGTTGGTCCATAGCCACCTGAGGCTTGGCGTCCCCTGAAATGATGTGCAAGTTGTGAAACTGTCTATGTGGATTTTGGGGGGAATTAGTACCAGGGAGTGAATTCAGGGCCTCTGCAGTGGGCTATATCCCCAGCTGTCTTGCTTTTTTATTTTGAAATAGGGTCTAGCTAAATTATAAGTTGCCCTGACTTGATTTGAAACTCAAAATCCTCCTGTCTCAGCCTCTCAGAGTGCTGGGATTACGGGTGAGCACTGCCACGCTGGGCTTATGCTCATCTTTCTTGGAGATGCTTCCCGACTATTACCACATTCTCCAGAAAGTGCTGATAAGGGGCTATGAGGGCTTAGGGGCTGGCTCTTGGCAGGGAGTGCAGCCATACTTCCGGCATTTGCCAGTTTCTAGATTGCAAATTCTTTTGTCAGGTCCACATTCAGAATGCCAAAGTGACATCATTGAACAGGGAGAAGGGAAGAGGCACACACATCTGGCTTTTAGGGACTGGGACAGATCAGCTCCTCCCACTGTGACCTTGACCTCTGAAAGGCCAGTGGACGCTGTCCTGGAGGAAGGTCTGCATTTCCAGTCCATCCTGCAGGTTTGACTGAGAGCTCCAAGGGCGTGAGCATTTCTGCCTGTTGTCCTGAGTAGGGCCGATCTCTACCGGGATACTGGCGTTATTTTGAGTAGTTTAAGGTTGACATCTGGAGGAGGGACTCAGAGTGGGAGCCTGGGAGGAGTGGCAGAATCACTCCTCAGTGCATCTGGGCTCTGGGTGACAGGCCCAGGAACCTCTGGAGGAAGAAGTGGAGATTCTTAATGAACACCAGCAGAGAAGACATAAGTGGACACTTCAGGGCCTGACCAGGTAAAAGGGACAAACCTCCGGGCCCAGGCTTGTAGACAGGCTGGTGCACACTGGATTAGAGTCTCTTATGGGGAGAGTTTGCTCCAACCTGTGGTCACTGGATAGGTAAGTGATCAGGCTGGGCACATTGGTGTCAGGCTCTTGTCTGCTATCTCGGGTATGATAACCATGGTTTTGCTGTCTTTGTCTACTCAGAGCTGCTCATGGTGTACTCAGACCACACTTAAATCTTTTCATCAGCATGGAAGGGGCAGATTGAGCCTCAGAGAGCTTCCTGCTTACCTGGCTGAGCTCAGCCCAAACCTTGTTTCTACCATGGGCTCCTGAGCCTTGGTGTCTCTACCAGTAAAATGGGTCTGACCATCTATCTGCTCAGTCCTCACACCTTTCATTGGGAACTCATAGATACCTGGTGGAGGAAGTCATTCTCAAAACTAGAAATGGCCATCTGGGGAACAGGCAGTGCCAGTGATGCTAAAGTTACATTTAGTCAGAGTATGAGAAGAACTGACCAACTCCCATGCTTCTGGTAGGATTCACTATGTGTGTGTGTGTACGTGTATGTGTGTGTGTGTGTGTGTGTGTGTGTGTGTGTATACGTGTATGTGTGTGTGTGTGTGTGTGTGTGTGTGTGTGTGTAAAGATGGTGTTTGTTTCAGTTTGTTTATGTGAGTGTCATTCACAGAGGACAGTAGCAAGTGTGACATAGGTTCTCGGAATGCCAGGTCCAAGGCCATACGCAGCTGACATGGGCCGCACGTCCTCTGTGTCCTGGCCTATGAGGAAGTCGGCCTTTCTG